GATCTCCATTATTGGGATTAGACACGATTTTTATTTATGTCTGTTTCCCACTGAACTAAGATCTGAGATTTCTCCTGGGCAAGACCCTTTCATTCCTTCCGGTGTCCCCAGGGCTCAGCCTAGGATTTGGGACCCCACGGACATTAGTGTATCTATTGAGAGGTTCATTGGTTAAGATTCTAGGAAGGGTTCACTCCCCTATGCTTCTCAGCTCAGAGGTTAATCACAAAGAGACTACACAGAATCCAAGGAATTTTGCTCAATAAATGTATTTGGGTTCTGGAGATTCTTGTATGGTGTCTAAGAAGAGGCCCTAAAGCCCCTCAGAGCAGCATGTCATTGAATAGAGCTGACATGCTCTCCTCCCCAAACATACTTTCCAGCCACCAGGACTCTCTCTAAAGGCTAGACAGAGAAACAAAAGAGCCAACATAAATAACAAAAAACAAATATATTTGACAAATACTTTTGAGGAATATGCCCAATGCTTCTGTGGACACTTAAAAAAGAAAGTCAGGGAAATAGTATAGTTCTTGTCCTCAACAAGCATTGAAGCAATTGCTTTCTATCCACAGACTTTTACTGACACCCAACAGGGTTTTTCCCTGCCCTGTGTGCTGCAAGCACAGAGCTTTAATCAGACATGGTGGAAACTTGGTTTCTAGGTCTAGTGGGACTGGGACATAAACTTGAACAAAGGGGAAATAACAAGATGTCTCAGGATCAGGCTCCATGGAATCATCCAGGGAAAGAAGAAATGAGGCTGAGACATTGCATTAGGAACATCCCATCACCATCAGTCTTCCGCCTGCCTCGGTGCTCCTATCTGTTTCCTCCCCTAATGAGGCTCCAGGGAGGTTCTGCTTCCTCCAGGTTCCTTAACTCAGATGCTGAATAATCCCTAGGGAAAGTCTATGCAACCCAGTAAAACCCACTTAGTGAGTAAAAGTTTGGATTATTTTCAAGGTCTCTTGGAGAACCTGGTCCTGGAGTCCCTCAACAGCAAAGCACTATTACTCTCTGCTCTTTCTCAATGACACACATGGGTCTCCATGAGAAGAGTAAATATGTGGGTGGGGAGATGGTGGGTAGCTGCTTTTTGTTTTCTTAGGTGCAGAGTAGAATAAATCCTTTACCTCAGCTCATGCACACCATCCATTCTTATAAGACATCTCTGGTTTTATTGACTTTTATTTGCTCAGATCTTCATTCCCTTTCTCTCCCTCCACATGGGGCAGCCGATTTAATATATGCATGGATCCTTGAAGAACACATATCACCATGCATTTGTGTGTTTTACATGCATAAATAGTATTGTGCTATAGATCTTACTGTTTTTTTACTCTTTTCATAGAATACTAATTTTTATTGTCCACTTCCTTACTGTGTGATCCTTCTCCTTGTTTTTATCTCTTTCCAATCCACTCTTTACACACAGACTCATTTTCTTAAAGTTTAAATTTAACTTCTTCACTGCTTAAATCATGACTTCACACTTAACATCACACTTAGGCAAAACATGAAAACAGCCTCCGAGACTTTATCTGGTCTTGCTCCTACACATATCTTCTATCTCAACCATTATCATTCTCTTTTCTTTGTTCCCAATACTTCAGCCATATTGGGTTTATTTCAGTCCTCTGGATTCACAAGTTCTTTCTTGTCTTGGGGGTTTTGATTTTGCTTATCCCCTTGCCATGAAGCTCCTTCCTCCACACTAAATGGCTTTCTGTTTCTCAGCCTTTGAGCTTCAGCTCAAATATGTATATTGGTGCAACCATTTTGGAACAACTTCAGCAATATTAGTCATCTTGGGTCACATTCCCTAGAAGCAAAGCAACTCATGGGAATGGAGAAAGTGGGTATTGAAAAGCACTTCAAGAAAAGATGGAGATAAGCAAGATGCAGGCTCAGTACATCAACTTCACCCTAGTCTTAAGTGGGTCTCTGGAACATGAATTGTTCCTGTAGTGTCAGTTCTACCCAGTCAAGAAGCCAACCTTGGACACCTGTGTCAGTCAGCCTGCCTTCTACCTCCAGAGCAGTGGAAGCTGGGAAGGCTGTATAACCTCTCTGATCAAAAGGAGAAATTATGAGCCATTATCAGCCAACAATCACAACATTTGGGGTGGAGGAAGTGGAGATGGGTAAACCAGCCAGTGGAAGTGCTTTGTATTATTGGGGATTGTTTCTTGTTTCACTATATTTCTACTCAAATCTTTCCAACTCATAACTGATCAACACCTTGAAGGGAATTCTTAATTACGGATGTATTCCCACCCTTTTTGGAAAGGACTGAGGCTAAATTGATAGCTAAACCAGCATCCATTAGTAAGAGAGGTGAGGTGCATATGGTCTTCCTCCCAATAATCTATTCTTAGCTATGCACCCTGGAAAACCTACATTCATGTGCCTGAAGAAAAATGTATAAGAAAAGTCATTTCAGCATGTTGAAAATGGTGAAAAACTAGAAATTACAAATTAAGACTTTCTTCTTCTCTAGTGCATTTATTTAGTGCCATGAATTTCTCTCTCGTCATCATTTTAGCTATGTCCTACAAATTTTGGTTATGTTGTATTTTCCTTTTAATTCAGTTCAATGCAGTTTTATTACACTTGTAACTTCTTTGTGGATTATTTGGAGCGTGATATTTGGCTTTCAAGTGCCTGGAAATTTTCCTCTTATCTTTATGTTATTAGTTTCTAGTTGGATTTCATTGTGTTCAGAGAGCTGTTCTGTATGATTTCAATTATGTTAAATTTGTTGAGGCTTGTTTTATACCCAGGATATGGTGTATATTGGTGTATGTTCTGTGGCACTTGAGAGTAATGCTTATTCTGCTATTATCAAAAGGAGTGGTCAATAAATGTCAGATAGAGCCTGTTGCTCACTGTTGTCTAGTAGTTCAATCAATTGTTGAAAGGGGGATCTCGAATTCTCAAACTATAATTGTGGATTTGTCTGGGAATCATTTCAGTACTGTCAGTTTTTTCCCCACATACTTTGCTTCTCAGTTGAATGAGGACACATTTCAGATTGCTATGTCTCTTTAATGGATTGACTTTTAATTATTATGAAATATCCCTCTCTGTCTCTGGTGATTTTCTTTGTTCTAAAAAGCTACCTTATATGAAATCGATATATCCACTTCTCTTTCTTTTCATTAACATTTGCATGTCTTTTTCAATCTTATTACTTTACATCTGACTAAGATGTTACACTTTAAAATTTGAAGAGAGCTTCTTGTGGACAGCATACAGTTGGATGATGTTCATTTCGAACCTCCTCTGTCAATCTTTGTCATTTAATTTGTGTATTTATAGTTAATTCCATTGTTGGAATGTCCAGACTTAACATTTGCCAATTTATTTTCTGTTTGTATTTGTCTTCTCTATTTTTATTTTCTGATTTCTTTTTCTTATCTTCTTGTGAGTTACTCAAATGTTTGATTTATCTTTAGTGGTTTTGAGTATACCATTTTGTATAGCTTAAGTGGTTTCTTCGGGCATTTATATTATATAAAAACTTATCACATTCTAATGTTTTCATCATTTTAACAGTTCAAACAAAATATATAAATATTGCCTCCCTTTAAGGAATTCATTAAAATAGAAAACGTGAATACCCTCTGACCATTTTTTTCTTTCTCAGGAAGTAGATCTACAGGAAAAGATAGATGTTACGTGTTACTTTTCTAGCCAGGATAGTTGATATTGATTTTCATGAAGATTTGTGGTTGCTACTATACAATTAGGACAGGAAGTAATATGTCTTAAACTTGGGACATTCACTTGGATATCTTAGTACTTTCATGAATAGTAATAAATATGAGAAAATTTAATCATTATAATACAAAAAGAACAGGATAACTAAGAACTCACACTTATATGGATGAAGACCAAAGACATTATACCAGATTTGCCAAAGTGACAGCCTAGGTAAGGGAAATTTAGAATGGGTTGTGAAGAGTGGAGATGACCTTCAATTGTATCCTTGAAACAACTACAGTATTGCGGACTGTATCTTCTTTCACTATATTTCTACTCAAATCTTTCCAACTCATAACTGGTCAACACCTTGAAGGGAATTCTTAATTATGGATTTATTCCCACCCTATTTGGAAAGGACTAAGGCTAAATTCAAAATAACAACAACAATAACAAATAGAGGCCCCATATCATGGGGAGAAATCTGGATAAAATGGAAAACTACAAATGGATGTGAATGACAGAAGACATGGATTGTATTGACAGAAGACATTAGATTGCAACCTGTACCCCTCCCCAGACTATCTCCTTTTTTCTGAAAGCATTGCTTGACCCCTGAACCATGGCACTACCACTGATTGCCTCACCCGTATTGGTTGGAACAGGGTTACCCTCTGAGTTGCTGAGATTACAGGCATATGCCACTGCACCCAGCTTCAATAGGCCCCCTAATACAGTCAAGAGTCGGTAAGCAAGACAGGCAAGGCTGCCACCCGCAAAACACAACATATAGTTTTATAGTAAATTTTTTTAAGTAGAAGGAGTACACTGTAAAAAAAATGAGAAAATTATTATACAGTAAATATATTAACCGTAACCTAGTCTTTCATTGTCGCTGTTAAGTATGCTATGCTCTTATACAGTTGGCAGTGCACTAGGAATGCACTGTGCTCTGGTGTTAGGACACAAGGACCCTAGATAATGTGGACTTTTCAGCTCTATTATAATCTTATGGGGCCAATGTCATGCATACAGTCTGTTATTGACTGAAATATCATTCTGTGGTACATAACTATAAAATAAATGAGCAAATAAGCAACTCATAAAAGACGAACTTTAAAGCACAAATCCAAATCTTGATTTTCCACAATATCAAACTCACAGTGGGGAATAAGGGAGGGGAACATTGAGAAGGTCCATGAGGGACTCAGTAATGAAACTCCTGAGGTAGAAACTTCTGGAGGGCACTCCACGGAGGGTATAGAGGAACACCTTCAGTTTCCCTGCAGAAGTCACTGGCCCCTCAAGAAGGAGACTTTGCCCCTGAGAAGTCTGACCAGAGCCCCCTTCATGTCCTTGTTCCGCAGGCTATAAATGAAGGGGTTCAGCAGGGGAGTCACTACTGTGTACATGACCGCAGCTGCTGTGTCCTCCACCACAGAGTTAGAAGAAGAGGATGAGGGGCACAAATAAGCCCTGATCACTGTCCCAAAGAACAGGGCAACCACAGAGAGGTGTGAACCACAGGTAGAGAAAGCCTTGAGCCTTCCCTGGGCAGAGGGAACTCTAAGGATAGCTGACACAATCCGGATATAAGAGACCAGGATGAGCAAAAAGGGGATCAAAATAACTGCACCCCCCAAGAAGAGAAGTACAAGTTCATTGACCTGGGTATCAGAGCAAGAGACCTTCATTAGGGGTCCCAGGTCACAGAAGAAGTCAGGAATAGTCTTCTTAGAGCAGAAGGAGAGCCGGAATATGAGGAAAGTGTGGGTCATAGCCACAAAGTTTGTGAGGGTCCAGCAGGCAGTCACCATGAACATGCAGCGCTGGAAGCTCATGATCACTGCATAGTGGAGAGGGTGGCAAATAGCCACAAAGCGGTCATAGGCCATTGTGGCCAGGAGAAAGATGTCCATGTCCCCAAAAGTCAAGAAGAAGTAGAGCTGGGTCAGGCATCCTGCATAGGAGATGGACCTCCTTTTGGTGTGGATGTTCACCAGGGCTTTAGGCACAGTGGTGGAGGTGAACAGGATGTCTGCACATGATAGGATGGCGAGGAAGAAGTACATGGGGGTGTGGAGACGTGTGTCAGCACCAATGGCCAAGACAATGAGCAGGTTTCCAGCCACGGTGATCACATACATCCACAGGAACAGCAGGAAGAGGATGTGCTGCTGCTCGGGCCGCTCAGAGAGTCCCCAGAGGGTGAACTCAAAGCTGTTGGTCTGATTCCCTCCTACCATGATCCCAGAGGTCAGAGAGAAAGGTCTTGAATAAGCTCCATTAAAGCTCTGTAAAAATATTTCACTTCAGATGATTGGTGAGCATGCCATCCTCTGGAACTCTAGTGAAGAAGGAAAAATAATAATGTATTTGCCAATGTATTGACCACCTACTATGAACACAGTAAAGTTTTTTAAATCCTACTAAATACTTATGCTAGAAAGTATGGGGGACACAATTTAAGATACTTGAAGTTGATTTCACTACATTTTTATCTGATCCAGTTTTATTTGATTGTACTTTCTCTTTAGTGGTACTCTCAGAAGAGTCAAAAAACAAACAGTACCCACTCATTGATTCATTCTACAGATATAGAGTACCATCTTTGGACCTGGTAGTGTTGGGTAAATAACATAGTGATCCTAAACCTGTAAGGATTTTCAATCTGATGGGATGGACATAACTGCCTGTATTAATGTCTTATCTCCATCATCTCGAATTAGGCCCCAACTTTCTTAATAAGACTCCTATAGCAAAAGAATCAAAACCAAGAATCAATAAATGGGATAGATTCAAACTAAAAAGCTTCTCAGCAAAAGAAACAATCAGTGAGGTGAATAGAGAGCCTACAGAATGGAAGCAATTCTTTACCACAAGCACATCAGATAAAGCACTAATCTCTAGGATATATAAAGCACTCAAAAACCTTAACACCAAAAAAACAAATAACCCAGTCAATAAATGGGCCAAGGAACTGAACAGACACTTCTCAGAAGAGGATATACAATCAGTCAATAAATATATGAAAAAATGTTCATCATTGCCAGCAATTAGATAAATGCAAATCAAAACTACTCTAAGATTTCATCTTACTCCAGCCAGAATGGCAACTATCAAGAATACAAACAACAGTAAGTGTTGGTGAGGAGTGGGGGAAAAGGCACACTCATACACTGCTGGTGAGACTGCAAATTGGTGCAGCCAATATGGAAAGCAGTATGGAGATTCCTTGGAAAACTTGGATTGGAACCACTATTTGACCCAGCTATACCACTCCTCAGTTTATACCCAAAGGACTTAAAAACAGCATACTACAGGGACACAGCCATATTAATGTTTATAGCAGCACAATTCACAATGGTTAAATTATGGAACCAACCCAGATGTCCTTCAGTAGATGAATGGATAGGGAAATTTGGTATATATACACAATGGAACATTACTCAACATTAAAAGAGAATAAAATCATGGCATTTGCAGGTAAATGGATGAAGTTGGAAGTGAATTAATAAAACATTAATTAATAAAAAATAAATGGATGAAGATGAAGTGAAGCAAGCCAATCCCAAAAAACAAAGGCCAAATGTTTTCCTTGATATGAGGATGCAGACGCATAATGGTGATAGCAGAAGAGCATGGGAGGAATGGAGAAACTTTAGATAGAGAAAGGGGAGGGAGGGGAAAAAAGGGGGCAAGAGGGTAGAAATGATGGTGAAATGAGTTAGACATCATTACCCTAAGTACATGTATAAAGACATGAATGGTGTGAAAATATTTTGTGTACAATCAATGATTTGAAAAAATGTACTCTATATGTGTGATCTGAAATGAATTGCATTCTGCCATCACGTATAACAAATTAGAATAAATAAATAAGGAAAAAAATGTTTTTGATTCAAAGTCCCCTATCCATTCAAACCACTCTTAGCCCTCAGGTTGGACCTGTTCTGTTCCAGCGTGTCCAAAGTTAATATTCTGAAGACAAAATTTCTTATTATCCATTCTTCCAGAAACCAGTAGTTAATAATCAAACTATTTAATAAAGACCCATTAGGCACTCAAAGGTGTCAGTGAAACAGCGAAGAAGAAATCATAATCTCTAGCTCCAGAATCTCAAAACTGGTTGTACACACATGCATGCTCACACACACACACACACACACACACACACACACACACAATTTGCTATACAAACAGAACAAGGCAGAATCAGAAGGCTTCTGGGACAGAAATGTAGTTGAGAGTTTTACCAGAAGGGTGTGGACAGCATAGTGAAACAAACTCTTTTTTTCTTTTTTTAATGGGGGAGTGGGGGTACTGGGGATTGAGCTCAGGGGCACTCTACCACTGGGCCACATCCCCAGTCCTATTCTGTATTTTATTTAGGACAGGGTATTAGCACCTCGCCATTGCTGAGGCTGGCTTTGAATTTGTGATCTTCCTGCCTCAATCTCCCAAGTCACTGGGATTACAAGCATGTGCCACCTCATGAACAAACTCTTGTACAAAGGCCAGGAGGAAAGAAACCCTGAACAGGCCCAGCACAGGAAGCAGGTGCTTTGAGCATGAGATGGAGAGATAATTGACTGAGATAAAGCGGGAAAGGGAACAAACTGAATATCAACTCTGGAAAAGTTCTGAATTGAAAGCAAAGAATCTGAAATCTTAGAAGTTATAAGGAGTCCCTAAAATTATTTGAGCAGGTAGAGATGTCAGGGCCAATACAGGAAAATCCCCTTCCCCTCCCATGTGTGGAACTAACTGAGAGATCTGGAGTAGAATGGTCAGATGGTGATAAAAAAAATTCTTTTGTTATTAAAAAAGACTAGGTTGGAGAATGTGTCTTAGCTATGTTTATTAGGCAAATCTTTCAGGACTCACCTGGAAGGAAATGTATTTTCTCTTTCATGAGATCAGCAAATAGCTAAAATAAAGTAATTTGGAATGGACTGGAATGAAATGATGCACAAAAGCATAGTAGGCAAATGTAAACAAAAGGACATGATCCCCATATCAAGCACGGCAGAACTCAGAACAAAAAGGATTAAATGATATGCTGGCTGCCTAGTAAAAATGAAATTTTTACTAGTAATTTCATTCTCAATTACTAAAAATACAATACCTATGATATTTGAGCACCAAGTCAAACAGCAAAATTTTCCTGAAGAGGAAACTAAAGAAGATACAGGAAAACATAGAAACATATCAATAAAAAGAGATTTAAGTAAACTTGTGCTGTTCAAAGTAAGATCAATGATTAAAAGTTCAGGCTAAAGAATACTAAACAAAATAATAAAGTATGTGTATGAATGTGTGTATGAGTGTGCATATCACTGCTTCAATCACAGCATTGAACACACTTTACTTTCAAGTGCCTATGAACATAGAAAAAGGTCACAGAGAAAAAAATCAAATAAATTCCAAAAAGTAGCAATAATTCAACTAATGATCTCTGATGAAAATGAAATAAAAAACTAATTACAATAATTAATAAAAAAATAAAAGAATAAAGTGACCTTTCAATCTGGAAAAGTATTTAAATACCTTTATTAAATAACTCTTGGATTCAAAAGAATTAGATATTCTAAAAATCTAACTTTCATAAATGCATAACAGATTGTTGCCAACTACAGTCACCCTATGTGCTATAGAACACTGGAACTTATTCCTCCTATTTAACTGTATTTTGCCTCCTCTTATCCAACCTACCTCCATTCATCACCACCCCTACTCTGCCTAGCCTCTGGTCAGCACAATTCTACATGTGTTGAATTGTCACATGGTACCAAGTAAATCTGTACAATTATGTGCTAATTAAAAATATAAAATAATTTTTTAAAATATTTTTTAGTTGTTGATGGACCTTTATTTTATTCATTTATTTATATGAGAATCGAACACAGTGTCTCACACATGTGAGGCCAGTGCTCTACCACTGAGTCACAACCCCAGCCCCCCAAAATAAAATAATTTTTAAAGATAGGAATGGCAGAAATTTTAGAAAACAATAACAACAATAATAATGCCAAAAATCAGAAGCTATGTTATATTATTAACATGGTAATCAAATGAGAACTCACTGCCTTAAGTGCTTACATAGGTGAATATAAAGAATAAAATACATGAAATAAGTATCTAATTCAAAACAGGACAACAAAAATAAATTGAAGGAAAGCAGTGAGAAAAAAATTAAGCCAAAATTGAATTAGAAATCAGAAAATAAAGTAAGAAAACCCACTCTAAGTTCTTTTCAACAAATGGTCTTGGAAGACAGCTATGCTCACCACTGGACTACCAGTGCCACCCACCAACAAATGGTTTTGGGATAACTGGATATCCACTTTCAAAAGAATGGATTTGAATCCCTGCCTCAGATCATATACAAATTAATTAAAAATGGATCAAAGGCCTCAGCATAAGAACTAAGAGGTAAACCTAATAGGAGAAAATACAGGCATAGATCTTCATGAACTCAAATAAGGCTATGGTTTCTTAGCTATAACACTAAAAGCACACATCATAAAATAAAAAGCGGATAAAATGCCCATGATGGATTTTAAAACATTTCTGCTTCAATGGACACTATGAATAAAGGGAGAAAATAGCTCATAGAATGTGGGAGAAAATTTTTACCAATCATTTATCTGATGAGGGATTTAAGTCTAGACTATACAAAAAGCAATTACAATTCAATAATAATAAGGCAACTAACAACGATATATTTAAGGAATTGGTTCAAACACAAGTTTTTCCAAGCTTTCTGATCCCATATAATGGGGCACATTTTTCTTTAAGTGAGTGAATATAATCATCTTCAATGGGTACCTGAATTAATGTTTTCATATGAAGAAAACAGTGGCTGTGGTTTTTGTAGACAATTATAAAATAAAATTGTTTCACACCAAACAAAAAAGAGACAAAGAAGGGGGGAAAGCCAGACATATCCATAGTGAGGTACAACTCCATACCCTCCAGGATGGCTAGCCAGATAACAAGTGTTAACAAGGATGTGCAGAAATTGGATCCCTCATACACTGCTGATGGGACTGCAAAATTGCTCAATCTCTTTGGAAAATAGTTTGGCTCAAAGGCTAAGTGTAGGGTTACCCTGTGACCCAGCAATTTGACCCCCAAGGAGTATCCAAGAGACATGAAAATGTACATCCACACAAAAACTTGCCACAAATGTTACTAACCCCATTATTCATAATAGACAAAAATTGAAGACAACCCAAATGCC